CGTAGGTTGCCTGTTCACTCTGATGATAGTTTATTTTGCTGTACAGATGCTCATTGGCTTAATTAGACCCCATTTGTCAAATTTGGCTTTTGTTGCAATTGCTTTTGGTGATTTCGTCATAAAATTTTTGTTCATGCCTATTTCCTGAATGCTATTATGTAGATTTTCTTGTAGAGTTTTTATAATTTTGAGTTTTACATTTAAGTCTTTAATCCATCTTGAGTTGATTTTTATATAATATGTAAGGAAGGGGATCCAGTTTCAATTGTCTGCATATGGCTAGTTTTCTCAGCACCTTTTGTTAAATAGGAAATACTTTCTTCATTGCTTGTTTTTAAGTGATTGCTTTTTCATCTCTGATTTTATTATTTTTGTCCTCTCTCTTTTTTCTTAGTCTGACTAAAGGTCTGTCAATTTTATGTAACTTTTCAAAAAACCAAGTTTTTGTTATGTTGATTTTTTGTATTGTTTTGTTTATTTCAATTTCATTTATTTCTGTTTTGATCTTTGTTATTTCTTTTCTTCTACTATTTTTGGGTTTGGTTTGCTCTTGCTTTTCTGATTTTTTAAGTTGCAATGTTAGGTTCTTTATAAAATTTTGTCTCCTTTTTGATGCAAGCACTCATAGCTATAAACATCTCTGTTAGTACTCCTTTCACGGTATCATATAGGTTTTGGTACTTGTTCCATTATTAAGAAATATTTTCCATTTGTTTTCTTTTTTTAATATAGATATTTTACTGCATTTTAGGTTTTGAGGTTCATGTGAAGAACATGCAAGATTGTTGCATAGGTACATACATGGCAATGTGGTTTGCTGCCTTCCTCCCCATTACCTGTATCTGGCATTTCTCCCCATGTTATCCCTCCCCAACTCCCCGCCCCCCGCTGTCCCTCCCCTGGTTCCACCTACACAGACCCCAGTGTGTGAAGCTCCCCTCCCCATGTTCTCATTGTTCAACACCCGCCTATGAGTGAGAACATGCAGTGTTGGATTTTCTGTTCTTGTTGTTCTTGTGTCCGTTTGCTGAGAATGATGGTTTCCAGGTTCATCCATGTCCCTACAAAGGACACAAACTCATCATTTTTTATGGCTGCATAGTAGTTCATGGTGTATATGTGCCACATTTTCCCTGTCCAGTCTATCATCGATGGGCATTTGGGTTGGTTCCAAGTCTTTGCTATTGTAATCAGTGCTGCAGTGAACATTCGTGTGCATGTGTCCTTATAATAGAATGCTTTATAATCCTTTGGATATATACCCAGTAATAGGATTGCTGGGTCGAATGGAATTTCTATGTCTAGGTCCTTGAGGAATCGCCACACTCTTTTCCACAATGGTTGAACTAATTTACACTCCCACCAACAGTGTAAAAGTGTTCCTGTTTCTTCTCTAAGCTGGTTATTCTAGATAGCATTTCATCTAACCTTTTTTCAATGTTTTTGGTTTCTTCGTAACGTGTTCCTTTAGCTCAGAAAAGTTTGTTATTATCCACCTTCTGAAGCCTGTTTCTGTCAATTCGTCGCACTCTTTCTCGGTCATGTTGTGATTCTGTGTTGTTGAGGTGTTGTGATCCCTTGAGGGAGAAGAAGTGTTCTGGTCTTTGATGGTTTCATCTTTTTTTGCGCTGTTTTGTTCCCCACCTTCATGGATTTACCTGGCTGTGGTGTCAGGCAGCTGCTTGATGAGGTCACTTGTCTGCCTGTCAGGGCACTACTGGGTTTCTAGGGACTCCTTCAGATTACTAGGGAAGCTTCTTGTGTCTTTCTTGTTCATACTGGGAGATTAGGCCTGCCTCTTCCACTGACCTGTATGCCCTGTTGGTTGATGAAAAACGCTGTCCCGTTGTTATGTAGGCTTCCTGTGTTTTTTGTTAAAACATGTAGCCCAGTCCCACCCCTCTAATGGTGGGTTGTGCCCTTCCTCCACTGGGCTGGATTATTCATGGTTCAGCTCAGACTGTGGCATTGGTTGTGCAACCTGCTAGAGTCAGAGCTTCAGCCCTCTGGAGTTTGTGGGGGAGGGTAGGGACCTTCCCAGCCGCACCCTGCCATCCCTCCCTTTCAGCTTACTGTCTCTCAGCTCATGGGGTAGGGCCCCACCACACTGCTCCACCTATCCTGCTTACAGCTCCCTCTCTCTTCGGGTGAGGAGAGGGAGGGGGCCATCACTCAGTCCACAGGCTCTCCTGGCTGACTTTTGGGCTTATGCATCAGTTTAGGTCTGTGCACCAATCTGGGACACCGTCCTGGATTATTACTGAGCTCCACGCTTGTAATTCCTGGTGCTTCACTGGCAAAGATCCCCTGTTCTGTGTATTGCTGAGGCTTTGGGGGAAGCGCTGTATCTGGACTCGAGTGCCAGAGGGGGAAGCACACCCCTCCCCACCTTGCTCTGCCTTGCATGGGCTTTGCTCACTGTAGGACCAGACCCACTGAAATGCCCCTGGTACCTTGGTTGGAGCTAGGAGATCTCTGGGTTTCTGCGTCTCTTGCCCGGTGTTGTGCGCCAGAGTTGTGTCTATTCAGCCATCTTGGAGAGTCTCTGGGTCTTATTGTTTTTTAATTCATTCATCCAATTTATGTCTTTCGATTGGAGAGTTTAGTTATTTATATTCAATGTTTGTATTGATAAGTGAGGACTTACACCTGTTATTTTGTAATTTATTTTCTGAATATTCTGTGGTCTTGTTTTTTTTCTTGTTTTCCTACTTTTCCTTTAAGTAAAGGTGATTTTCCCTGTTGGTATGTTTTAAATTCCTGCTTGTGTGTGTGTGTGTGTGTGTGTGTGTGTGTGTGTGTGTGTACATTTCATGTTTTTAGATTTGAGGTTACTATGAGGATTTCAAATCTACTTAAGATATGGTAGTTTACACACCACAATTATAGTGTTGTAATATTCTGTTTGTCTGTGTACTTACTATTATTAGTGAGTTTTATAAGATTCACTGATTTCAGGTGGTTTCTTATTGCTCATTAACATTCTTTTGTTTCATATTGAAGAACTCTCTTTAGCCTACCTTGTGGGACAGCTGTGGTATTGATTAAAATTCTTAGCCTTTGTTTGTCTGGGAAAGTCTTTATTTCTGCTTCATATGTAAAAGAATTTTGTGCCGGGTATACTATTCTAGGTTAAAAGTGTTTAAATATGTCATGCCACTCTCTCCTGGCCTGTAAGGTTTCCCAGAAAGTCTACTTCCAGATGTATTGCAGTTCCATTGTATGTTATTTGTTTCTCTTTGCTTGCTGCAGGGATGAATGACCTTTTCTTTATTTTTGATCTTTGTAAGTTTAATTATTAAGTTCCTTGAAGTAACTTTCTTTGGGTCAAATCTGCTTGGTTTTCTATAACCTTCTTGCACTTGAATATTGATATCTTTCTTGAGATTTGGGAAGTTCTCTGTTATTTCTTTGAATAAACTTTCTGCCCCCATCTATCTCACTTCCTCCTATCTAAGGCCATTAACTCTTGGGTTTGCCTTATCAGGTTATTTTCTATATGTTGTAGGCATGCTTCATTCTTTTCTATACATTTTTCTTTTGTATCCTCTGACTGTGTTTTCTCAAATAACCTCTCTTCAAGCTCACTGATTGTTTCTTCTGCTTGATCAGTTCTGCTATTAAGGGACTCTTATGCATCTTTCAGTAGGTCAATCACATTTTTCAACTTTAGAATTTCTTCTTGATTCTTTTTAATTATTTCAATTCCTTGCTAAATTTATCTGATAGTGTTCTGGAATTTTTTTTTCTCTGTGCTATCCTGAATATTTTTGAGTTTCTTCAACACAGCTGTTTTGAATTATCTGTCTGAAAGGTCATATATTTCTGTCTCTCTAGAATTGGCCCCTGGTGCCTTATTTAGTTCACTTGGTGAGGTCAAATTTTCCTGGATGATCTTTGTGTTTGTGGGTTATTGTCTGTGTCTGGGCATTGAAGAGTATTTTTTGTGATCTTCACAGTGTGGACTTGTTTGTACTCATCCTTCCCAGGGAAGGCTTTCCAGGTATTCAAAGAGATTTGGGTATACTGTCTATGCTTTTAGTCACTGTGCCCATATCTGCATTAGGGGGCAGGGACTCTAAGCCCAGTAATTCTGTCATGTTTGCAGCCTCATAGAGACATGCTTTTGTTGGTTGTTCAATAAGAGCTGGAAGAATTCTCTGAATTGCCAGACATAAGCTCTTGTTCTCTTCTCTTACTATCTCCAAAATGAATGGAGTCTGTCTCTGTGCTACCTGGGACTGAGGGAGGATTTAAATAAGCACCTCTGTGTCCACCACCACTGGAATTTCACTGCATCAGACTTGAAGCCAGCACACCACTGGACCTTGCTCAAGGCTTATGTAACTGTGACCTGACTAATGCTTTTGTTTGCTAAAGCCTGTGGGGCTTAGGGCTATACAATCAGCTGGTGGTGAAGTCAGCCAGTCTTATATCCTTCCACTGGGGAAGTGAGAGTTTCTTCAGGCCCCAGCTGGGGCCACATATACTGTCCAGGAGCCAGGGCCTGAACCTGATAAATCTACCTGGTGCTGCAGCTAAACTGGCACTGAAACCACAAGACAAAGGCCTTTCCAATCTTCCCTCTCATTTCCCCAGGCAGAAGAATCTCTTCGCATGTCCACCACCACCACAGACCTAGGAGGAATCCTGCCAGGGTACCACCAATGTTCACTTAAGGCCCAGGGGCTCACGTTTTAAACATTTGTTTTGTTTGTAATGGTTTTGTTTACTTACGTTTGGTGGATAGATTTGTGAGTGAATGTTTGGCATGTGTGTTATTCTTCAACCTGGTAACATGTAGTGTCTCCCCAGGTGGTTTCTTGAAGTTTTAAGAATTAGGAGTATTTATTAAAGAAGGAAATATCCTGCTAAAGATTAAGCTTCCTTTAAATTTGCAATTTATAAAATAAAATGAAATATTAGTTTTAATCTATTTTTATAAAGATTATAGTTTATTCTAAGTAGTTAATTTTAACTGACTGTATAAATTTTTTCAGCAGAACAAGTCTTAGCAATGATATCAGAGGAAGAGCAAGAAAGGCTTGAAGAAAGTGAAACCAACCAGCTACAAGTATGCAACAATTTCATTTAAATTTCTGGTTGACTATTATGTTCTTTGCTTTAATAATGTAGGGTAATCCAAATGAAATTACCTTTTAGATTAGCCTTTGAGAATCAATAGATCCTAATTTACTATTTACTATTAATATTTATATTTACTATTTAAATGTATTTTATGTAGTGTTAAAACTTAAAATATTTTTAAAATCTGTAGTAACTTGTAGCTAGCTCATTTTTAACCTTGGAATAGAGAGAAAAAATTTTCAGAATTTTGTTTACTCTCATCTTTATAACATGTTTGTGTAATGAAGAAAGTAGCATGAATTATTCAATCATATTATTGAGCAATAGAAGTTATGAACAATTTAAGAGAGATGACCACTGAGCTGGATTTGTGTTACAGGAGTCATGATGGCCAGTGGTTCAAAATTTGCAGTTTTATATTGCCAGTCACTAATGCCAAGATTAAAGATTTATTCTGTCTTATGGTCTCTCATTGAATTCAGGTCATATTTAGGAAGAGAACTGGGTCATAAAATCAACATAACTGTTTATTAAGAGAATCATACTCTGCAGATTGGGACCTTTGGTGTTTGGATATGAACAATTACTTTCTAACATATTTCAATGCAGGAAATCAGTAAATAGTACACAATTTTTCTACCATCATTGGTGGATATTAGAATATATTAGAAGTGGACATAAGCAGATAAACTAGGTACATAAGAGTGTCAGCCGGGTGCAGTGGCTCACACCTGCAATCCCAGCACTTTGGGAGGCCGAAGCAGGCAAATCACAAGGTCAGGAGATCAAGATCATCCTGGCTAACACAGTGAAACCCCGTCTCTATTAAAATTGCAAAAAATATGAGCCGAGTGTGGTGGCACATGCTTGTAGTCCCAGCTACTTTAGAGGCTGGGGGAGAATTGCTTGACTCTGAGAGGTGGAGGTTGCCGTGAGCCAAGATTGCTCCACTGCACTCCAGCCTGGGTGACAGAGAGAGACTCTGTCTCAAAAAAACAAAAACAAAAACAAAAAAAAAAAAACAAAAAAAAAAAAAAAAAAGGAAAAAAGAAAAAGAAAAGAAAAAAGAGTGTTATATAACTTGAATTAAAATTTGATGATTTGCTTTTCTTTCTGATTGGTATTGATTTTGGCTTCTAACAAAGTCTGCCTACAGTCCAGTTAGTAATCTTTAGGAAAAGTATTCAAATATACTGTGCATGCTCACTAGTTAGGGTATGCTGAGGTAAAATCTTTTCAAGTGAGGACACTTGTAGCAGTACTAATCATCTGATAATTCATTTTTTTGGTAGTTTTAACACAACATGAATTTAGTCCAAACAACGGTGCCAAAGTTAAGTTTGCTGGTTTATTTTTTTCTTGCAATTGTAGCTAAGGCAAATTATTTTTCACTTCTTCCTGTGATTTGGGAGTAGCTAAACCTACGTTAAGAAGTTTAACAGGTAAATTTTAATTAGTTTAAACATTTTTTGTTATATTTTATTGGGAATAAAGTTGTTTTAAAAATGCTCTGTGCTGGGCATAGTGGCTCATGCCTGTAATCCCAGTACTTTGGGAGGCTGAGGTGGGAGAATTGCTTCAGCCCAGGAATTCAAGACCAGCTTGGGCAACATGGTGATGCCCCATCTCTACAAAATGTTAAAAAAATTTAGCCAAGCCTGGTGGCATGTGCCTGTGTTTTCAGCTACATGGAAGGCTGAGATGGGAAGATCACTTGAGTCTAAGATGTTGAGGCTGCAGTGAGCCATGCTTGCACCACCGCACTCCAACCTGGACAACACAGTGAGACCTTGTCTTAAAAAATAAAAATAAAAACATGTACCCTGACAAAGATAACTTCTGAGAAACAAAACAAGCAAATTAATTTTCCCTTTTGCATCTGCCAAAAATATCTCAAGAACAAGAAATAAATAAGGATTAGATAGAGAAGATATGTCTGTATGTTAAAGACTTTTTTTTTTTTTAACCATTTCATGTATCACTTGGTATATGAACAAAGAACATTCAAAATATGGTCTCTGAACTGGCTATACATTTTCTCCTTACATTTCAGTAGAAATAATAAACTAACCTCTCCATTAATATAAAAATAAGATTAAATCTTATTTTAAATCTAAGGAAATGTGTATTAAATGAGGCAAATTAGAGTGGGAAAGTAAAACTTCTCACAAATAAGTTAAATCAGAGGTTTGGTGAGATCTGTGAAATTATGAAATTGCTGCTTTTACTTAGGAAGAGCCAGTCCATGATAGCTCAAAAGGAGGAACAAACATAAAGGAAATTCCTTCTAATTTGACGGATAATAGCTTGTGAGGAAAAAGATGTATCTGGAGTGCCTGTCTTCATGGGCTCTCAGGCCTTTTGTGGAACACATAGAACCAGTCTCAAAAATGTGTTTCTATCTTATTCATATTCTGGGTTTTTTGTACATGTTTGCCAGGCAGCTTCTAAGCTTTATTTAAATGAAAATAAATTAGACTGTGAAAATAACAAACCAGACAGTGAACATGTTTTTAACATAGATGAGGAGAATTTTTATGATACTCTAAGAAAGTAAGTTGTTACAATAAAAATAAAAGAAGGTCGAGAGCTTGATATGCAAATGACAAAAAATATGACCAAGACCAAGGTACCATAAGGCACCAAATTAGACATCAGGCATATGTGTCTGTCTAGTGAACCGAAAGGTCAAAACCTTTGCTACTAACAAAACATGTTCTAGTTGTTGGAAGTGATTTAATCTTATTTTTGTATCAGCGGAGAGGTTATTTTATTATTTCTATTGATAGGTAAGGAGAAAATGTATAGCCAGTTCATAGACCGTATTTTGAATGTTCTTTGTTTTACTTTTGACAAGAGTAACAGTCTGCTCCAAGTAGTGTCTAATTTCAGTGCAAAGAGCTTTGAACACAATGGTATGCCACAGCATATGCTTAGTGATAATTTATTAATATGTATTTTATTCCTAGTGAAATAGTTCATATATTTCTCCATTTCACATTTATTACTCTTTCAAACATAATAAAGAGGATTTAGAAGTTACTGCAATGGCAAATGATTTTATGACTTTCTAAGAAAAGCTCTATAATTTTATCTTATTTACTATTGATGTTTTGAAATAAAGAAAAAAAAAAAGCTTCTCTTTGTACTTATTTACACTGAAGAAATAAATGTGATTTGGTGGAGGAACATTAGAAGTAGAGTCAGAAAACCTGGGGAAAAGCCTGCAGCTTGCTTAGTTTTTGATCACTTCTTTGCAGAATTGTGATAATTGAGTTCAGTGATGTATATAGAAGTGCTTAGTAAGATGCTTATATTTAGCATTTATGCATGAATGCCATTCTTAGGACTGACTATAAAAATATACAAAAATAGAATATCTGTAGAATATACTCAGGAAAAAGAAACTTAAAGGACTTTGGGAAATTTCATCTGTCCAAATGTATGCAGAGCTAAGGCTCTTAGTATATGGTGGAATATAGCTTAGATATCAAAGTATAAACCCAATATTTAATGCAGTAAATTTTTAAAATCTTTTATGTCTTTGGGTTTGTTGTTGTTCTGAGAAAGATTTTTCCAGTTTTGGGAATCTTACAAATCCTCTACTGCTTTCTCTTTTACTTGTATGGATTCATTGTCTTCAAATAAATCTTTGATCTTTGGAGAATTTATGCTGTATGAGGTTTGAAGTTTTAATTCAGCTTTTTTCCCAGTTACATATGTATATGTGGCAATGCTTTCATTGTAAAAATGTACATGATATTTTTTAATTTCAGAGAAAATAATGAGATGTCGTTGTATCGAATGCTAGCTAGAAGTTTTCTTTGTTTATTTAGATTTCTCATTGGTGTAAGAAAGAAAAAGATCTGTTGCATGAAAATTGCATGTTGCAGGAAGAAATTGCCAGACTAAGACGGGAAATAAACACAAAGGAAAATAGGAACCAGCAAAAGGAAAATAAATATCCTGAGGACATTGAAATTATGAAAGCAAAGAATGATTTCCTTCAAAATGCTTTGACACTGAAAGAGGAAACATTAACAACAACGATAAGTCAGTATAGTGTACAGCTTGAAGTTTTGACAGCTGAGAATAAAATGCTCAGTTCTAAATTGGAGGATAAAAATCAAAACCAGGAGAGATTGGAAACAGAAATTGAATCATATTGTTGTAGACTGGCCACTGCTATACAAGACTGTGGTCAACATCAGGCATCAAAAAGAGATGCAGAACTCGGTTTCGAGAGAGCCAGACAAGAGTGGTCTCATTTGAAGGAAAAAATGAATTTTGATATGAGTAACCTAATTGATGAGAACAAGATGCTTTCTGAAAAACTTTCTAATGCCGAAAATGAAATCAGAAGCCTCAAAATGAAGCACCGCCACGTAGAAGATGCTCTAAGAGAAACAACATTGCTTTTAGAAGGTATCCAAAACAAAGAAGGTGAAGTGAATAAACACATTCAAAAGCAAGACTCTCTAGAGGAAAGATTATCTCAAATACAAAATGAAAATTTGTTACTTCGACAGCAACTGGATGAGGCTGACAAGAAAGCTGACAATCAAGAAAAGACAATAATTAATATCCAAGAGCAATTTATTGCTATTGTCAAAAATCAAGCTGAGAGTAAAAAGCAAAGTCTTCTACTAGAGCAGAAAAACAACGAATTAGTCAATAAATGCAATTACTTAAAAGAAAGATTGTACAAATACGAAAAAGAGAAAGCAGAAAGAAATGTAAGTATTGTGAAAGAAAATATTTTTCAAGCTTCTTGAAAGAAAATATAAAGTAATATTTGGTTTTGGCTAAATAATAAGTCTCATTGAATATGAAGATATTGTAAACATATTTGCTATCTCAGCCTGGAAGCATGCAGGCAAAAAAGGTTAGACTAGAAAGATGCTTTACTTTGAGTAAAGAAATTGTGCCACCTATGAAACATTAAGAGGTTAAGTTACAGATTATTAATAGATATAGACTAATATAAATAATGTAGTCTTATGCTACTTAAATAATACTTATTTTATTTTATTTTATTTTATTTTATTTTGAGACAGAGTCTTATTCTGCTACCCAGGCAGGAGTGCTGTGGCCTGATCTTGGCTCACTGCAACCTCCGCCTCCTGGGTTCAAGCAGTTCTCCCTCAACCTCCTGAATAGCTGTGATTACAGGCATGTTCCACCACACCTGGCTAATTTTTGTATTTTTAGTAGAGATAGGGTTTTGCCATGTTGGCCAGGCTGGTCTCGAACTTCTGAGCTCAGCTGATCCCCCCACCTTGGCCTCCCAAAGTGTTGAAATTACAGGTGTAAGCCTCCAAAGCCGGCCTGAAATATTTTTAATGTCTTTATGTGGCCATATTTTAAAACCATGATGAACTAGATAAATGGAAATACCATACCTGAAATGAATATTTTGAAATTAACATTCAATTTGGTGGGTGATTTCGATCCAGATTTCCCAGGTGAACTGAAGTGTACTGCTGTATCTCATAAGGCTTTCCCTCAGGAGCTTCTTATATATTGTAGTTGGTGTAGCTTTATTTTTATTCATGTTAATTTGACTTAAATCTGAAACTGTCACAATCTCAAATTATTGTCATGACCTCCCAACTCTTTGAAGGGATTCACTTTTAATTCAATATAATTTGGGACAGATGTGAATGTCAGTAAAACCATATTTGATTTAATCTTACCACTGGCATTTGTAATTTATTTTGAATGTTTTTACAAGTAATTTTTGCATAATTTTTATTTCAAAGCTCTATGACTATTTTGATTTGGATATAACTTTGTTGAGTACAAAGATAATTGTAGCAATCTGTGATTTCTTTGTTTGTCATGGGGTGCCCATGTTCAAACTAATGAGGGGTGACAGGATTCACATATAGTGGGAATGGAGTGAGTAGGGGGAGAGTGTAGGAGCTGAGATCAGGGAGGTGGAGGCGAGGTTATCAAGGGCCTCAAAGGCCATTGGAATTTTAGTTTTATTTTGAGATAGGAATCTATTGGAAAGATTTGAGCAGGCAATTGAATAAGAGGAATTGTGAAGTTGATTTGAACTTCTAATAAATAAGAGAGAAAACATTTCAGAGTATAGAATTTACCACCACTAGTCTCACTCACCCATTGCTTTTTGAGACTTCAGTAGATGATTAAGGATTGCAAACTTAGGGGATGAATGAATAGTGGGTTGTATCTACTGTTTAAGTAACAGAATACTGATTTGGCAGGAAAATAACATCTTTTTTGTCCTTAACTGAATTCAGTAATGAACATTCCTGTTCGTTACACATGAGGAAAAGAAGGTGAATTAATGTATGTGGTAATATTTTTCAAAGTATTTGTATTAGAGTTAAATCTTATGACCATCATTTAATAATAAGGTGACATAAAGTTAATAACAAAAATATCTTTACAGGAAACTATGAGACAACTTCAAGAATTGGTTGGTACTGAAAAAAAACAACCTGTGTCAGAGTCTTCACTAGAGGCTACACTGTGTTATCATGCTAATTTAGATGAAACACAGGACTCAAAGAGGAAATCAGGTCAAATCAGAAGTCAAGTATGTATAAAACGTAGCATGTCAACATTTAATCTATAGCTGGTTAAATAATACCAAGCGGTTTAGGATACTAATTTCAGTGAGCAGCTTTCTTTTGTATTTTCATTATAATTAATTTTATTATCTTTATAATGTATTTGTTTCTTAATCTCTTGACCTTTATTCTGTCACTTTTTCCTCTTAAGTATGTACATATTTTTTTAAATAATATTCACCTTTAGGAAAAGTTGGGAATTAGACATCATTCCTCACAAAAGTTGAGAGACTTTTTTTTGGTGAAACAGTATTTTTAAGTGATTTTTCTCTATTATCATGGTGAGACAAGCCAGATTAAATCAGAGGACAATATTTATTTCAGAAAATTATCTTATTTCTTATCTTCACTTTTGTAAATGGGTACAGAATCTCTGTATATTTCTTTCATGCATTTCAGGATAACTTGTACAGGAAAGACTATTACAGTGGTCTTCAAAATGCAAGTGTTTTAGATTAGTTTACAAAATACTTAAAATGTTAGGCATTTCCTGCCTATTTTATTTCTTTTAAATATATTGTAAAGCAGAAATATTCAGATCATGTGTAGTATATAATCCAAAGTAGAGAAGTAAGAAATTTATCAAGATCCTGCCATTTGATTTTTAAAACAACTTTATTAAGATATAATTCACCGAGTATATGGTTCACCCATGTGAAGTTTCTTAGTATATTGTCAGAGTTGTGTAACCATTGCCACCATCAATTTTAGAACATTTTTATGACCCTGAAAAGAAACTGCATCCCTAAGCCATCATCGACCAGTTTCCCCCTTTTTACTCAGCTCTGGGGAACCACCAGTCTCCTTTGTTTGTTTAGATTTATCCACTCTGGAATTACACAATATGCGGTCTTTTGCGACGATTTGTTTCAGTTGGCATAACATTTTTAAGCGTTTTCTGTGTGGTAGCAGGTATCAGTACTTAATTTCTTCTTCTTGCTGAGTAATATTTTGTCGTATAAATATACCAATCATTTTATTTATTCATTCATGAATTGATAGACCATTGGGTTTTTTTCCAGTTTGGACTGTTATTAACAAGGCTGCTGTGAACTTTGATATAAAAGTGCTTGTGTTTGCATATGTTTTCATTTCTGTTGGGGTTATACTTATGAGTGGAAATGTTGGGCCATGTGTTAACTCTTTGAGAAGCTGCCAGTCTGTTTTCCAAACTGGCCGCACCATTTTACATTCTTATCAGCATTGTGAGGGGGTTCTAATTTCCCCACATCCTTGCCAAAATTTTCCATATTTTTGATTGAGAAAAGATTTTATTCTAGTAGTGCAATGTGGTACTTTACTGTGGTTTTAATTTGCATTTTTTGATGACTAATGATTTTAAGCATCTTTTTATGTGCTTATGGACCATTTGTATATCTTCTTTGGAGAAATATCTATTCAAATACTTTGCCCATTTTTAAATTGTCTTTTTATTTCTAAATTTTAAGAGTTATTTTTATATCCTAGGTGTAAGTCCCTTATCAGGTACATGATTTTCAAATATTTACTTCTACTAAATGGCCTTCATCTTTACTTTCCTGATGGTGTCCATTCAAATTCCAAATTTTGATCAAGTCCAGTTAATCTATTTTTCCTTTTGGTGTTATGTCTAAGAAACCACTGGCAAATGCAGTCACAAAGATTTATGCCTATGTCTTCATCTAAGAATTTTATAGTTTTAGCTCTTACATTTAGCTGTTTTATTTTGAATCAATGTTTAGATATGGCGTTTGGTGAGACAATACCATTTGTTGAAAATGTTATTATTTTCTCATTTGTTTTGTAACTATTGTTGAAAATCAATTGAACACAAATGTACAGATTTAATTTTGTATTCTCAATTTTAATATGTTGGTCTCTGTCTATCCTTGTTCACTAACATGTCTTGTTCAAGTTCTTTTGTATGATATAGAGCAGCATTTTGTTACAATATTAAGATGAGATGGTCTTACCTTCTTCATACAAACAGGCTCAAAGTAAGGTAAAGGGGAAATTGTACTTAATTTCTTAACATTCAAAGGACATATTTGTTTCACTACTGAAGATTAAATATAGTTTTATAATAGTCTATTTCCTCATTGAGGAAATGAACATAAACATCGAATACTAAATTGATTAATAAATACTCAAAGCTGCTTATCTCTTAGAATTTCAGTGAATTGAAATCAGGTCAAATAATCTGATTTTGGTTGGAAAGTCAAATATTTCTAGTTGTTTTTTCCTTTTTTTGAATTATACTTTAAGTTCTGGGGTACATGTGCAGAACATGCAGGTTTGTTACATAGGTATACATGTGCCATGGTGGTTTGCTGTACCCATCAACCTGTCATCTACATTAGGTATTTCTCCTAATGCTATTCCTCCCATAGTCCCCCACCTCCTGAAAGGCCCTGGTAGGTGATGTTCCCCTCACTGTGTCCATGTGTTCTCATTGTTCAACTCCCACTTTTGAATGAAAGCATGCAGTGTTTGGTTTTCTGTTCTTGTGTTAGTTTGCTGAGAATGATGGTTTCCAGTTTCATCTGTGTCCCTGCAAAGGACATAAACTCATCCTTTTTTATAGCTGCATAGGATGCCATGGTGTATATGTGCCACATTTTTTTTTTATCCAGTCTATCATTGATGGACATTTGGGTTGGTTCCAAGTATTTGCTATTGTGAACAGTGCCGCAATAAACATATGTGTGCATGTCTTTATAGTAGAATTATTTATAATCCTTTTGGTATATACCCAGTAATGGGATTTCTAGGTCAAATGGTATTTCTAGTTCTAGATCCTTGAGAAATCACCACACTGTCTTCCACAATGGTTGAACTAATTTGCACTCCTAC